TATGCTCACATAGAAAGAAATAAAAATGTAAACATTAAGAAAGATCACTACATAATCACTTTTTAGTAGTTAATTTTTTCTGAGTCTGACAGCATGTTAAAATGTTTTCATTTATAACAATGTGAAATGTGCAAAAGAAAGAAATCATTCCCTAAAGATGGAAAAAAGCATGATGAGGAACAGAAAGTACTATGAAAAGTAACATGTACAATAGATAGCCATTGCTCAAAACATCTCATGGGCCGATGTCTGTGCCATTCAAATTTCAGATCAGGCCCTTAATGTATTTTAAGTGAGATGCCCATCGGGCTTGTCACAAAAAATTAATTTGCCTGAGCAAACTTCAGTCAAGTTGATGAAATGCAGACATTTATTCTGAATATGCTTCAAGACTAGTAAATTATTCATACCTTTATCACCATGTATGCCCCTTACCCAAATGAAGATCTCTACTTGTACTTCTATTGAAAGCTCTAAACTTTGTATAGATAGCAAAGCATGTGACCTAGGAATAGGGAACAGATTATCTGGGTTAACTAGTGCTCACATGGCTTTAAGTTAACATGCAGGAATATGAGATTCTAGAATATCATTTTGGATATGCACCAGAAACCAGTAACAACCAGTCTAGTGGGTACCAGAACTGTCCCACAAATTTTTGCAATTGGTGCAATGAAGCATAGCTGCATAATGGAAATTAAGGCCAGTGTTTATACATGACAAACTGTTAACTGGTTACTTTATTGTTGTAATCTGGAGAGTTTAGGCCAAATGCCTGATGTTTTGTTTGAGGTATAATAAGTTACAAAGGGATCAAATCTGGTCATGTTGACTATTCTATCATTGATTATAAAAACTGACCGACCTTTGGTGGAGTTGAGATTAGCAAAAATGCTTGCATATTTTTTTTGTCTTGATAAATTGCTATTGCATTATTCCAGACGTTTGAAATTAAAGTTGAATGAATAATAATTCACCTGCTCCGTGCTCATGCTTTCTCTAGTGCAATGAAATACTGGTTAAAGAAATTATGTGGCACTTATGAACAAATTATAAAGCGTAAGCAGAAACTGAAACTGTATAATTCAAGACATTCCCTCCAATGATAATGAACATAAACACTGTTGTTGATCTACTGATTAAGAAGGCCACTGTTAGAGCAATTAGACAATGGCTGACTTCGGGACCTTGTAGAAAAACACTATGAAATTTTTTTGGATCCAAATAATCATACAAGGCAATTTAATATGATTTTGTTTTAAGGTTGGGAATATGGAAATTGGAGTTGGGCTTATGGAATTTGAGTCGAGGCTTGTAATACTGTCTAAGTCAAAAGCCCTGGGCCCGTGTCTAAACAATTGTTCTCTGAGCTCTGATAGCATATCTAAAAATGAAAATTCAATAACAAGCTCATCATTTAGTCTTCATGGGCACATTCTACATCAAATAAAAAAAATGGACTGTGATGTTGTTCACACTTTCTTCTATAAGAATTCACAAACTCATAGGCAATGAAATTAGAGCTAAAGGTGATAACTGCTGACTAAGGTGTTTAAACTACAACCTCAAATGGTATAAAGTGCCCCTGGTGAAAACTAAATTGCATCATATAGTAGGCCTTGTTTCTCAACATGTCCTCATCATCAGGTTGGAATAAGAGAAAAGTAGCCACAGCTTGAACAGCTTTGTCCATGTCTTTCACTGAAACCGAATAATTAAAATAATTCAGCACAATGGGATCTACTTGAGTAATACAAATGGCATAGATAGTGTAACTATATTCAGTAATAATATTTTTACCACAAAATTTCTGGCTATTGATAGAAGAAGCAATTTTAATTTTAAGGATGGAAACATTAGCGATTTAAATGACAGCTGCATGACAGTAAACTATACTGAAATTTTACAGATCATTTCATCCACTGCATACTTTTATTTCTATTCATTCTTTTTAATCAAGCTATTGTATGTTTCTTTCTTTATGTCAGGCATGTAAGTTTTTGATAATGTGAAAACACAAATGGTGGCTTATTATTTATTGATGTCATGATTCAGTCCAATGTCCATGAATATAAATTTTATAATAGGATTTTCTACTGTAATGCAGAAATCATCAGTTGGTTTCCTTATTAAACTGTAATTTGTTACAACTATAAATGTGTATTTACTCAAGTGATCACTTTTAGCTTAAGTTTATTAGTTCTTAGGCAAGCTGCTTTTTATTTACAAGATAGTCTAATCTTGTATTACTTTAAATGTAATGTCAGATGTGATTTCTTCTCATTGTTATTGTCTTGGATTTAATGCTATTTCTCAGTGCAAGACAGGCTATACATGGTGGCAGGATAAATGGTGGAGGAAGAACCACCAATCCATGGAAGCTACTGGTAGCTTTCATACACTGAAACTGGATTAGAAAGACACTCAAACCTATGCAGACAAAATTGAGATGGCAGTGATCAATACAGGCAGGTGCTTTAGACAACTTGGACACCAGGAACCCCATGTGATTTACTGAATTCTTTTTTTAAAAAAGTGTATATGTATACAGATATTACTTCATTTGTTAGAGATATAAAATGAAGCTTATGAAAGCAATGTCAAATTATTTCTGCCTATATTTACACTATATAATTTCTTATAAGAAAATATTATCTTTAATGGCTGATATATCTTACTTTTATGCTTTATTGCATGATAAATATAAACTTAACAACAGGAAAGAAATATAGCATGTTAAACATTGTTACATCATCATCATCCCAAATGATAAGTTAGACTATCATCAATATCATTTTTTCATCCCAACCATCTCTCTGGATATAAATAAATATTTAATACAATGATTGTCTCTGACATGTAAACATTATCAAGATTGTTTTGTTTTTTTAAATTGCAAAGCCCACCACAAATCAGATTATAAAAATGGATGAAATCAAGGAATTTCTTTGGTCTCAGCATGCTCTTAAATCGAAAATATATAAGAAATCTTAAAGGTCCGTTGGGCTAGTACTGCTTAAAAATGAAAAATTGGTCCCAGACCTTGGACTACTGTAATTTTCAGTCAATTTTGGATACTTTGATTACACAAATGGTTTTCCAACTGATAAATTGGATCTGTAATGTCTACTGTGAGGTACATTGGAGGGGCATGTATACTAACTATTCCAAAAAAGAAACAGTACTGTCGCAAACAATGTGCTTTAATAACAAATGACTCACACGCAAAGTTGAACCAAAAAGGCAAATGCTTTATGACTGCAATTACCATGAAGTGTCAACATCCTGATGTGTTCAAAACCAATGAAAATGTGAAGATAACTTAAGGAATCACTTCTTTATATGAGCCTGCCTCATACATGAAAAGAAAAATCTTATATAACTTTATGAATCAAGAGTCATTTTCACTTGCCTTTCAAAAAAACCAAAAAAAATAACATGTTTGGAAAAAATAATTCTGCTCAGAAGCAGCCGCATGCCCTAAAACCTAACACAAAACATTACCCAGTCCATAAAAACTATTAAATCTGTCCTTATGTGCCTTTTTAGTACCCATGTATGAAATTTTCCATGTAAGCAGTACACTTTACATGTGTTTTGCTGTTAATTGTTGCTCAGTTAAGGAGAAAATATTTAGGACATTTGTCTTAGAGGTAATTTGTGCAGTTATGAAAATTTATGTGATTTAGTTTACTGGATATCATACAAACCAACAAATGCATGCATAACTTTATATAACCACTGGCTGAAGAGTACCACACGGCCAAAAATTTAAGTAATTTAGCTCACTACACTAAGTATGCAATCAATCAAGTTACAATTATAATGCATTTTTTTCTCTGCATTTGCAGATTCTAAACTTTGACAAGATTTTGCAAAAATACAGGTATTTCCCAGATGGGAAGAAACCTATTTTTATTTCAGAATTTTTTCCCATTTTGTCTGCAGCATGGGAACCATTTTTATTTAGAACCAACAACACGTCATAAATGGAACTATGATAATCCATCCTGGAATTATAGCCATAAGAAGAGTTCATGATATCTGTCATGGCATGATTTTAACTAAACAAAAACTGGACAGTCTTTCAGTAACAACCCCTCATGCTGATGTGACCAACCATTCAGGAGGAATAAGGACTGCCAGAATGGTCACCACTGAGGGTCCATTATAGTTCCTGTCCTCAATACAGAGTCCCAACAATGACATTTTTTGTGGAACAATTAAAAACATTATGCATGCATTGTTGTCACCAATATAAATCTCATCAAACTTCAAATTCTCATTAACTGTGACATAAAAAGTATTATAATGAATTTAAAATCAAAAGTAATAGAGAACAATAATAAATGTTTGTGATGTTACAATTATAACAATTCTCAATGTATTTACCTTGTCATTTGTTAATTTTGGTGCAGTTAAAAGGAATCAATAAAGAAATTAGTTTCTTTTCTATATTAAATTATTAATTACCTTGTATCCATTTCAAATAAATAAAACTGTCAAGGCAATAGAGAAAGAAACAAATGGCCACATTTCATTCACTTTTTTCATCTTTAAGCAAACACAGTATAACGTGTTCACCTTTTGTCTGACACAAACTTTAACAAATTTCTCCAGTGCAGGTTTAGCATCAAAATCCTTAACTTTACGGCCTTCCTCCATCACACTTATTGTTTTAAATGACCATAGATGAAACCAGGTAAATGTGCAGTCTGGAAATAAGCCAGAGTAACTCCTGCATACCACCAAGCATGTGTCATGTAGACTCAATGCACCAGAAGAAGTCATCATCCATTCTTCCCTCTGAACTACTCCAGACACACAAACATAAAATGCTCCGAATTCTGTGAGGGCATTTACATTAGCATCATTTATTTTCATGGGTCCCAATTTTCAAAATTGTTAAAGCCACATAATAATTCAAATCACAACACATACATAATTTTCAAAGTTGTGAAAATAGGACATTTTCCTGGTTACTTAAGGACTGGATGTCAGACCTCAGGTGGCCTAGTGGTTATAGCATCTGCCTCGGATGCAGGAGGTCGCTGTTCAATCCCCGGTCGAGTCATACCAAAGATTTAAAAAATTGGTACTAACAGCTGCCTCGCTTGACACTCAGCATTAAGAGGTTAGTGTTAGGACTGGTCGGCCTGGTGTCAGAATAATGTGACTGGGTGGGGCATCATGCTACATGTCTGCAGCATGATGCCCCATTGCTAGACATCACTATAAAATGACACACTGCGGACATTGTATCGATATGACTGAAAAAATTGTTAAAGCTATGTTAAAAATCATAATCACATCACATCAACACAGTGGCTTATGAGTGATAAAAATGAACTTAGATCATCATTCTTGTCATCACTGCACATTTAAACCAAACAGGTGACCAGCTGCCCTTTGCTCAGTGTAATAACCAAGCATTGTCAACATAGACTTAATTTAAAAATTCAGTGAAGTGTGAGCTTCAAAACTCTGCCATAATTATTGTATATGTACAAAGTTTCATCAGTAACAGTTTTAGTATTCTAATGTCATGTTGTTCATTGGGATTGAGAATATTGCTTTCATGAGGATTTACATTTTTTGACAACAGTTTTACATGAATAAAGAATGAATCTGAATAAGTATTTTATCTAATTTTCATTTATAGTATCATTCCCAATTATTTCTTCCAGTGATAATGGAATTTTACTACCTTATACTTTTCTCATTTCTCTCCATTCTTACTTATCTCACAATAAATTTATGGCAATGCAAGTAATTTGTGGATACCAGATACATATAACTATGTGCACACTGCAACAATACAAACTGCTATAATTAACTTTTTTTCTAAAGCAGCAAAAATAAAACAGACAAGCAAAACCTAATATTTTTAAGCAGAATACAAAAATAATGTTGATTTACTAACTAGGTTTGTTGATCTCTAGGACTGAAACCCAGTGAAAAAAGGAGGATGAGGACTTTTTTTTATCATATGTGGCAAACTTTTCATTGTTTTTCATAACACCACATGAAAATTAGTATTCTATAATATAGCTCCTCTGCAGTCTTCCACTTGGGATCAAAGAAAGTATGTGAAGTTGCCAATGGAAAAGCAAACATCTAGTAACTACTAAAAAAATTAAAGTATGCACGTGACAGAAAACCAGCTCACTTTATTACAATTTATTAGAATCAACATGGGACAAAGAAACAATTCCCAAAATCTTAGCACTATTTTTCTAAATATTGTATGCAATAAAATGCAAGTGTTCCAAACAAAAGAATTCTGATGTATGAAGGACTAAAGTGTGCTCAATGATGCTTTTTAAAATTTGTAATCTAAGTATATGTACATGTAATTAGTCTTTTGATAAAAAAAATGACAACTTCAAAGAATCAATTAAAATAAGTATTAATCCACTTAGGCCAAAACAAACAAAACTATGTGCATTTCCTACTGCACTGGTATTTAAAATCAGGATAATAATGCGATTTTTTTAAAAAAAAAACATTATTTCTATTATATTGACTAGTATCTGTAACGTGCTAAATGATTCATGTACTGAGCTAAACTTGCTCAAATAGATGTATAATTCAGCTTTGGGAATTTTCTTTTAAAATTTTTGTTTAAACCTTGGGGTGAAAAGTGTTAGGGTTGGCTACGACAACAGAGAGGGTCAGTTAAATGGAAATACTTCTTTGGCCTTATCTAAGAAATGGCCTATGTGAAATTACCTAAATCATTCACAATCACTTGGATTCTGCTTTATAAACTGTACAGTACATGACTGGCACTCACTTTGTTGAAACAGATCAAATAAATGCTGGGGGGAAAAACATGTATCATGAGAACTCGACTGCTGTAATTTTCATGTGTCCAAAATTAAAAATACCAAATTTTTTATAATGTCATTGGTATCTCAAAGAACCCTGCAAATGGACCTTATCAGATACTGTCTAATACAACCTAATACCTTTCTTAGATTCAGAAGCTTAAATTCTAAGAAATTTAATTTCATAAATTAACTTCTATTTTCTCCAATTCTACTGCCTGAATCCAAGCAAAGTTCCTCCACATATCCATCATCAATAACTGAAATTGGACCTTGATCCTATACTTACTGTGGAAGTATGCAAACTGGAGAAAGTTGTAGTGTTCACCCACAAAATTGGGCAGATACTCTTTCCCAAAGACACTCAATTTCTCCTCACATTTGTATTGGCATATCAGAACAACTAGGAAATGGTCTGAAAAAGAAACATTTACTTATGAAATTATGAATGAAGCAAATTCAGTTTACAAATAAAAAGCTATATCAGCTATATTTTTGTGTACCACATTTTACACATTTACCTGTTAATGCATGTCATTTATTTTTCGTTATTATTGTTGTCAATCCAGTGGTGGGTGTGGATGATCTACATCAAACACAATATAGACTCATGTTATTAATAATATGGATACAATAATTGATTTTTCAGCGACACGAAAACAGGAACCAGTGAAGCACCATCCAGCATTACCAAATTCGATAAGAATGATTATAATAGGTCCATATGGACCAGGTAAAACACAATTATTATTAAATTTAATAATGAGGTTGTTGAGATGGAACAAACTATATTTAATAGCACCGTCTGTAGATGATCAGCATTGTTACGAAGTACTTAAGGATTTTAATGAAAAAGTAAAATAAGTTAATAAAGATGGTGACGATATTATTGACTTTATCACAGATATAGATGAAGCCCCATCTGTAGATGACTTAGATGGATTCATTAATAATCTCATAGTATATGATGATGTGATGTTGGACAAACAATCTAATCCAGCTAGAATATTTTCTCGAAGTCATCACAAAAACACAGACGTGATTTATGTTACACAATGATATACACAGATACCTAAAGTGATTAGAGATAACTGTAATATTTTGGTTGTGTTTAATGGAGTAGATAATTATACCTTACAAAATATTTATTATACTTGGTGTTCAGGGGATATGGACATGATTAAATTTAAAAATTTCTTTTCTAAAGCACAATCTGTTCCATTTGGATTTATAACAATAAATCTACATGATCCTAGATCAAGATATTGTGTTGGTCTAGATAAAATCTTTGGTTAATTCCCCTTGACCATCAATAGCAGCAGGCAGGGTGAAAGGACAACAATTGAGTCGCTTAACGAGTAAACAAAATAGCCTTACAAAGTAAGGACAAAATAACTTCAATAATAGTATAACAAACTGAGCTAATATCAGGCGATTTAAATTACCGGTTCTTTACTGTATGGAAATATAATTAGTTAGAGACTTTGGTTTAGTGCTATTTACTTTTTTTTCAGCCTCTGTAGGAACCTTTATTTTTCGTTAAGGATTTTAGCAAAAATTTGTACGGTTCACCCTGCCTGCTGCTATATCTATTTAAATTTATTGTTCTTATTTTGTGTCAAGCCAATAATAATGTGCCTTAATAATGTACAGATAAAATCAAAATATGAGCCATTGGACTTGGCCAATATTGGACTTGGCCAATATGGGTATGTGTGAAAGCTGGCATGAAAACAACAACAACAATCCACAAATTAGTCAGGTCAAGGAAACTTAATCCAGAACAAAAGTTGCATTGCAAAATTCAATTTTTCCATTACAACAACTCTCAACTTTGATCTTCTGACCCCAAAATCATTTAGCTGCTTCCATACCTTAAATACAAACCCTCCACAGCCATGTAGTGCATAACGTAATAAGCAGAAAAATTTCTTTTATTCACAGTAACTTTGATCTTTGAATTTTGTACCCAAAAATCAATAGGCTTTTTTCCTGGTCAACATGCAGGTAATTCACAAACATTGGTGATGTATACTCTTATCGGTTTCATTGTACTTCATCCTAAAACATGTTTATCCAAAAATCAAAGAGACTAATGATTCATCTTCTCTTTAACAGGTTACACTTAAACTTTTAATCTTTATTTCGTTGCAGCAAAATCTGCAATGACCCTCTGAATTTGTAATCCATATAATGGATTTGTCTCTGCAAGTTTATTTATTTCTTTGCTCTTAAAGAATGACTTAGGTAATAATGTGTTCAAAAGATATCTTATGGTGATCAAGGGCAGATTTTTAAAATTCTTAAAAGTTGACATGAAAGGATTATTCACTTGTGCAGTCTTTGCAATTACATGATCAGAAGTCACACCAGTAATCCCAGTTAATGTGCCAGCTGTATTCAGCCAAGGGAATATTTTCTCTATTTTCCTTAAAGTCAGATCCACATTTACTCTTTAGTGTTCTGCTTCTTTACACTTTCTTTGCTAATGATTCTTAGTGCACGCCGTTTTAATCTGTATACAGGTGTAAAGTATTTGATTCAGTTAGCAGTGAGATCAAGAGCAACATATCCTTCTGCATCTGCAGCTGCTGAGAGACTACTTTTGTCACCTTCCACTGTAGACTTGTGAGCGTTGATTCAGTAAGATGAACCTAATAAAAACTAACTTCAAGAAATAAACTTAGCATAGCATTTAATGAGAATCAGCATGTACAGATGCGAAGAATTAGACTTTGAAACTGCATTCAACAAGTTGGCAGCCCTAAAGTCGTGATGGATCATCATGTTACATTCTATAACAATTTAATAGTGCAAAACATATAATGATTTATTTTTTAATATTATAGCTGTATTGCTTGTTGTCAGAAAAGTAAAAACTATCCCATCTTTTTTAATTTGTATTGCCCATTACATTAATAGACTTGGAAAAATATTCACCACTTGTTCTGGCAACATTTTTGAAAATTGAAGACAAAATATTGAGGTTGGCAATTTTTTTAGCAACAACATTTTAAAAGCCAGGACCATCCATGCTACTGACAAGGCTACATGTCAAACAAATAATTGTCCCCATGCTATGACCTAGATTTTGATGGCCAAGGCTAAGGTACATGAATTGCTCCATCTAATCATGATTAGATTCTTTATTTAAATATTAACTTTTATTTAATTAATTTTATTTAAATATTAATATTTATTTTATTTTTAAGGTTTTATTTAAATATCTTTTATGGTTCAAATG